TTTTCTTTTCCATCTTTATTTTTTCATTTTAGTATTTTACATTTATGTGTCATGGGTGCTGAAAGAGGGCATGCGAGCTAATATTCATATAGCAGAGGAGCAGCACGCTCCCCACTCCCTTACTCTGGGACAACCAGTCGGCATGCATGCCTGACATGTAGAGCTGATTAGCTCTGGGAAGGGGGTACAGCATTTTTTAATGCAATTTTTAAAACATTTAACAAAATATGTAGATCACAGGTCATCAACCTCATGGTTAAAACAATTCACTGTTGCAAAGCAAGACACATTTTAAATGCACATTCACCCACTTTAAACCAGGGAATAGATTACCTACACCCTGTAAATGTATAAAGATCTGCAATATACTGAATACCTTCAATACATAAATGTATAGACAAATATCCATGTTGCAAATGCCTTCCAGTAAGGGAGAAAGGATGCATCTGTACAATACAGCAGTTGACACCCATGTAAAAGCCTTTCAGCATATTAGAAATCAGAACAATGCCAACCACACCCTTTTTTTCTTTTTTTGCAGACCTATAGGGCAAAATCACTTTGGTGCCAACTATTTTCAGAGTTGAAAAAGAAAATCACCAGACCCAGAAAGTAAACTGTCATTCCCAGCAAAGTCATAGTAACGTAAATTTAACCTCAACCTACCCCTTAAACCTATCCTGTAGTAAATAAAATACACATAAAACTATACTTTTAAATATTCCTTTGTGTTCATTGTTTACACTTCTGTAAATGTATTTTTCCTCTCTCCCATTGTATACTGGGCAGCACAGTGGTATAGTGGTTGACACTTCTGCCTTGCAGCACAGGGGGTATCTGGTTTGTGTTCCTGGTCAGGACACTATTATGCATAGAGTTTGCATGTTCTCCCTGTGCTTGTGTGGATTTCCTCCGGGTACTCTGGTTTCCTTCCACACTCCAAAGACATTTTGGTAGCGTTCTGCCCATATCAGCCCTGGAGTGTGTGTATGTATGTGAGATAGAGAACTTATATCCTTGAGGGCAGGGACTGATGTGAATGTATAGTATGTGTAAATTGTTGGCACTCTATAAATACCTGTGATTAAAAAAAAGAAAGAAAACTAACACATGGATAAAGCCACAGATAAAGGATTTCAAACTCAAAAGCCATGGTTGGTAGTGACCTATATGACAGGATAGCACTTGTCCCTCTCTATTATCCATGGCTGCACTAAGCATTAAATGGAGAACTCCGTCCTGTCACAACAGCTTCTACACTGACACATTTTTCCCTGGCTGACTGAGTGAAAAACTAACTGACTGCAGGTTGTTTCAGACTGCTTGGCCTTACATTACCTTTACTGCTTCTGACAATTTTAAGGCACTGTATATGAATTATTATTCATAGTGGGAAACCTATAATATGTACATATTAACACAGCTATGAATTTTGAGTGCCACCAAAATTGTGTTTATCCCCAATTTCAGCCAGTTTAGGAGGATTCGGATGAAATTCAAGCTGTGTATGGCTAGCCTAAGTTTGATGCCTTGTCATAACCCACAGTAAAACTGATTAGGTTTACTGCCCCAGTTCCAGTATGCTTCCCTGAGGTTATACCATGGCAGCTTTTATCCTGAGCTTTACACACTTATGACTAATCTAGGGCTGCAGCTAACAATTATTTTCAAAATTAGTTAGCGGATTTTATTAATTTCGATTAATCGGATTTAAAAAAAGACACCAGTGATGAACTCTAGTTTGTATTGAGATTGTAGTCCATCGCGGGAGCAAGCTTGGAGCTCAATGCAAAATACCACCAGCTATAGAGGAATACAACAAATCCCAGCAATAATACATTATCGTATCATGTACTATTGCTGTGATTTGCTGTATTCCTCTATAGCTGGTGTTCTGCATTGTGCTGTATAATGTATTATTGCTGGGATTTGTTGTATTCCTCTATAGCTGGTGTTCTGCATTGTGCTGTATAATGTATTATTGCTGGGATTTGTTGTATTCCTCTATAGCTGGTGTTCTGCATTGCGCTGTATAATGTATTATTGCTGGGATTTGTTGTATTCCTCTATAGCTGGTGTTCTGCATTGCGCTGTATAATGTATTATTGCGGGGATTTGTTGTATTCCTCTATAGCTGGTGGTATTTTGCATTGCGCTGTATAATGATTATGCAGCACAATGCAGAATACCAGCAGCTATAGAGGAATACAACAAATCCCAGCAATAGTGCATTATACAGCGGCGCAATGCCGAATACCACCAGCTATAGAGGAATACAACAAATCTAGGGCTGCAACAACTAATCGACATAATCGATTATTGAAAAAGTTGTCAACTTTTTCAATAATCGATTAATCGGCTTCTGATTGGTTGGCCCTGTTCACGGCTCAACACACGCTGCGCGCCACACCTCCTCCCACCTCACGCTCGCCGCTGCCAGACCTTCCCACATCCTCGCCGCCCGTCCAATAATGTATAGCTGGGATTTGTATTCCTCTATAGCTGATGGTACATTGCGCTGTATAATATATCATATAATCTAAAGTCAACTAAATCGATGATGGAAAATGTTGACAACGTTTTCCATCATCAATTATGTCCGACTTGTTGCAGCCCTACACCAATCCCTGTTGGGCAATTTAAGTTTTCTAATGTCATTGTTTATGAAAATATATATGGTTTTTCTTATAAACCCCTTTGCAGTTTTGCACTGGTATTTAATTGTGTGGGTATATTCATGTACCATATTTCTAAACTTTTTTATACCCTGGATAGGAACATTCATTAGAAAGAGAAACATTGCTTGGCTAGATTATATATACAGATGCTAATCTGTCATCTCCTATCTGTGAGAATAGGGTTTGCATTAAGAAATAGATTACTGCCTTATCTGTCTTGTCCTGGGTGTGACTGTAGTGACCTTTCACCATGAAAATGTTTTAGGGCTTGTTCACACCAAATCCAGGCCAGATCTGCATGAGTTTCTGCACATGCAGTGCAGTGTGTTTTGCCACGTTTTTGACGTACATAATTTTGAGTCCATTTTTGGAGGTTTGCGTAGAATGTGTTAGATTTGGCTTTTTTTTCTCTACTTATTTGTTTCATACCAATATAAACATGAGAATGCTTAAACATTTTGATTTCTTTAAAACTTTATACACTTTTAAACAGAGCATGTGTCACCATTGAAATATCTTCATGTGAAGCAAACAAATTATTGCTAATCCAGTAGAACCACATTGAGCAACTTTATGAGTCACAAAGGGTAGTATACTTAGCCAGGAGCTAAAAATCAAACACACACTCAACTAAAGTTGCACAGTTTCCCTATATTATAATATTATTATTCAGGATTTATATAGCAACAACAGGTTTGTGCAGCGCTTTACAATATAAGGAAGACATTACAGATACAATACAATTCAAGACAAGATGGTTAGGAGGGCCCTGCCCCTGAGGGCTTACAATCTAAAATCTATATACTGAAGATTTTCCACAATCAATAATGTCAATTATTCAAGCAATTGAGCAACCTACCGGTATTAAAAGAAAACTATGGGGTCACCTTTTTATCCCATAGTTCTTTTAAGGATCACGGGATGCCATATTCTAATGTCCTCCCATGATCCAAAGCTCATTATACATCTTGCTATAGCTCGGTATAAACTGAGATCGCTGCAGCCGGATCTCGACAATACTGTCGAGATCCACCCAGCTGGCTGATTGACAATGGGCTCTGCCTGTCTAGAAGCAGAGCCAGCTGTACCCGCCCCCTCCCCCCTCCATTCCTCCAGTCAGCGCTAGAGGATCGGAGAATTGAAGGGGAGGAATCCCTGTGGGGAGCGGTAGGGAGATGATCGGAAAGTGAGCGAGCATCGGTATGTGTTTGCTCACTTCCCGATCTATAGAGCCAACGTGTGACAGTTTCATTGGCACACGTCGGCTCTAACAATGAGTGTAAATCAGGGCTTGAAAAATCCACTCGTCGGCAACGAGAGGACGGTGGAGCCCAACTAGCAGCTTCCCGGCCAGCCGTTGTAATTACACTGCCGGCCGGGAGCTTTACATTCAAGCGATCGGGCGTCTCTAGATTGTATTAGCAGCTGTCACTGCCGGTCCCTAGATCCGCTGTGCCCGATGCGGCCGGGAGCGGCACGGCTCTGTGACAGGAGATCAAAGAGAGTTGAGCATACGAACTCCCTTTGAACTCCTCTCAGTCCCCGAATGCAGGAAGTGATGTACATTACATCACTTCCTGCATTCAGTGTCACTCTCCAGCTACAGAAGCTGATGAAGCAGATCTCTGCTTCATCAGCTTCTCTGGGGGTCTTGGAGACCCCTGATGTCTCCATAAAGAGCATCTGTCATGTAAATTGGCTATCACATTAGGGTGCTTCTTAGCCCCCCATGTAATAGCAATAAAGTTGTGTGTAAAAAAAACAAAACACAAGTAATAAAAAAATTAAAGAAGCAAACATTTTTTTAAAGTCCCCACCCACCACATACACACGCAGATATGCGTCGGGTGCGCCTACGTGCGAAAACGACGATTGAGCCTATTGTGCTGCACATGTTACATATCGCCACAAATGTTGGAGTGAGAGCAATAATTTTAGAGACATTAATCACTGATAACACTAAACTGATGAGCAGTAAAAGCGTTTTAATAGTCGCCTATGGGCGTTTTTTGTGATTTTTGTGGGCACACTCAATTTTAAGGGTTGACATGTTTGGTGTCTATTTACCCGACGTTCCCCCCCGCCCCGTGGTGATTATATACCTCCAAAAGAAAGCTCCATCTGTCCCCAAAAAATGTTAACATAAATTGCAAGGCTATAGTCCGGTCATGCTGACTGGTGAAATTTTTGACTGACTGGTGAGACACTATCAAATATTTCAAGCCCTGTCCATGTGTGTGTTTGTTTTTTTATTTTGCCTTGACATACACTTCAATGTTGTATAGCATGAATTTATATAGTATGTTCTTATTAATCCTGTAGGTGTGAAGAATGGATTCTCTCAGTGTAGCGAATGGATCCTTCGCTCTTGAATTATTTAAGAAGCTGAATGAAAAAGATTCAAAAGGCAACGTGTTCTTCTCCCCATTGAGCATCTCCTCAGCTCTGGCAATGATTTACATGGGAGCCCGAGGAAATACTGCTGCTCAGATGTCAAAGGTCTGTATATAAAATTACAAACTTAATCGATTAAATGCATTTCTGTATGGATGCACATACACTGGCGACTTTAGACCGAACTGGTTAGTAATGGCAGAATGTTTGTTCTATAAAGATCAAGATTGCCTGCGTATCACTAGATTGTATTTCTGGCACAGTAAAAAGTAAACCATTTAAATGTAATGCAATAGTAATATTACACTAGACTCTGAGGGGGCTATTTCTATCTGTTTTTACACAAGATTGACACATCGGTGACCCAGGATTCACACATTTTTCCAGGTGAATCTAGTTAGAGCTTTGTGTGAAAATTCCATAAATATTGGGTGAAAACCTTTATAAATAGACCCCTTTTGAAGAAAACCCTCTACTCCCCCAATATTACTGTATGGTAGCCTCTAGTACAGTTGTTAATTAACTCTAAAGTGATCCCAGAATTCCAGACTTTTGCTCATGAATCCACATTCTGCTTGCATAGAAAGATTTATGCTCCCTTCCTGTCCTTGAGACAACCCGGAAGTGAGGGGAAATCTACCCCTAGGAAGGTAAATTCACTTCTGTAAGTGTTATCATGGGAAAAAGGTGTCTCCACTGAAGCTTTATCGCCAATCCTTGTTTCCACGAATCCTTGTTGTCACAGGGACAGAAAGTGAGATGAAATCTTCTGAACAGGGGCACACACAACAAAACAAACTTTACAGGGGGTTAACCCTTTCCTATGCTATCCAAATCTAAAAACAATTTTTTGGGCTGGAGTTATACTTAAAAAATGTACCTGTTCCAACTTGCATACAAATTCAACTTGAGAACAAACCTACAGTCCCTATCTTGTTCGTAACCTGGGAATGCCTGTAGTTCAGAAAATGCTTTCTACCTCTTTTAAAGGCATTTTGCAACTTGCAGTAATATAATGCACAAAATCATTTAATGTGTGTTTTTGTTTTTTTTCTATAGTTTTAGAATTACCTCAGAAAGCTGTTAGTATATTTAGCAATAAGTGCAGCCCTGTCGATGTTAACCTTTTCTTTTTTTTTTCAGGTTCTTCAGTTTGACAAGGCAATAAATGTCCATTCATCTTTCCAGTCCCTTATCTCTGAAATTAACAAGCCAGGCACTGACTACCTGTTGAGAACTGCCAATCGTCTGTATGGAGAAAAGACATTTACCTTCCTTGATGTAAGCTTACCTTTAGCTTAGTGTAATATTGTATAACCTTATTTCGATGATGTAACATGAATTATTTTAATTATTTAGTAAATGGTGCTTTTTTAATGCAGCTTTTGCTCCCTTTGGTCTTCAAACAATGAAGACAATTTACTAAGTGATTTAAGAAAGTTCACACAACAAATTGTGTGAAGATTCAATTAAATTATCCAAGCAAGAAAATCCCTGTTTACTTATTTCTTCTGCACATGATTTGATAATTAAAGGGACTCTTGGCACAATTTATTGTGTGGACATTCTTCAATCCTTTAGTATAGCAGCCTCATTATGTGATCTAAAGTACGCTAAACTCTTTGAAGTTTGTTTACACATTAATTCTTGGTTTGTATTAACCTGTATGGGTCGTTTTTACTCTGAATAATCTCAACAGGTTAAAAAACATGCATGGTTGGGCTCTATTATTTACATAACAGGGCCCAGTGTCAATGTCTGGTCCGTTTTTAAAGCCCTGATTTGATATTTGTTCATTTTTCCAAATTTCTTCAGAAAAAGCTGTATATTTGTCAAAATGGTAATGTGTCCACTCCTTGTAGAGTATGGAAAGGTTTGAACCGGTTAGCTTTTTTATTTTTGTCTATGTCCCTGGGGCAGATATTCCATGACTGTCGCTGGGACAGTAAGTGAGTGAAAAACTTTTGAATGCAGCCCTTATTAGCAGTTAAATCCAGGTTCTAACCCTTCCTTACTCTAAGGGGGGGGGGTCGAATGCAGCCCCTGATGTCTCCAAAGGGCCACATGTAATATTTTATATATGTAGTGCTACAGAAGACTGTAACAGATTGAAGAGTTACCAGAGGAACCGGTAAATTATACAGGAGGGGTTGTAGACTGAGGTCATGCAGTAGGAGACAGTCAGAGACTGGGGAAATTTACATGACACTGATGGAGATTACTGTTACTAAAGGCCCCTTTTACAAGTCAATGATCCTACTACTGACTATTAAGACCAAGTGCCACACTTGAAACACCACAGGGCTGTATGTGGCCCTCGGACCACAGATTGGGCACCGGGGCTTTAATCAAAGTAAGTAATCCAAATAGCAGATTTAACCATGTTGCTGGATAAGTCTGTTTTTGGTTTAGTAGTAACAGGCTTTACTCTTACTAGCTTTGGCTAATAAACTATGATCTGCAATACATTTTTCTTCTCGTGCAATGTTACTATTAATGCTGTTTAATTTTTCAGGACTTTCTCGGATCAACTCTGAAACACTATCATGCAGATATACAAGCTGTAGACTTTTCTGGAAAGGCAGAGGACTGCAGAAAAGAAATTAATGCCTGGGTGGAACAAAAGACAGAAGGTGGCAAAAAAATGATTCACTATATATACAATGTACAACGCCACCTAATGCACACTGCTAATTTTGTTTCACATTTTCCAACTCTTATTTAGGTAAAATCCAGGACCTGTTGCCGGATGGCAGTGTGGATGCTCTTACTAGACTTGTACTAGTGAATGCTATCTACTTCAAAGGAAATTGGGCTAACCAGTTTAATAAACAGCATACCTCAGAAATGCCCTTCAAATTGAATAAGGTATGTATTTTTAAGTACAGAAAACAGATATTAAGTAACTACTTAAGACCTGATTTATGAACGTGTCCTAGGGAAAGAATCGTTTTAGTTCCCACAGCAACAAAATGGATTCTTCGAAAACTAATTATAAACTGAGGGGGTCATTTAAAACGGAAAGGGGTTATCGCTATCCATTCTACTATACGCCACAAATGTACTGCACACCATGGCAGCATTTTATGGCCCATTTACAAAATGCCACTGTGTGTATGTCATGATGTTCTCTCTGCCTAACTAACTGTTTTGGGTGAGAGGCCCATCGCATAACTTTTGACAAGTCACTTGACTGGGCTCTCTTCACAGCTTTTTTTTTATTTTGAAATAATTTTTTTTAAGGTATATCTAAGCACATTTGTAAGCCATACCACTATTACCACAGAAAGGCCAACAATTAATAAATGGAGCCCTGTGTGGTTGCAATGAAAGAACACAGATTGCCACAGACAGCTTTTCCCTCCTGCAGCTTAATAAATAATGCTTATTGTCTTACCCTATGTGAAAGAATTTGATTGACCGATCCACACCTTGGTGTATCCGCCTTGCATATTACAGGTGTTCTATCAAAGTTTGTGACTGCGTTAGAATGTGTGACCGGTCACCTGGTCACACATTCTAACGTGATCACACCCAGTTTTTCAGTGGTGGAATATGGGAGCGGCAAAAGGTGAAGAATTCCAACCCTTTCTCAGCTGTTCCAAGGCAGATCGTCATCGCAGATCGTATGTGCAGGAGAACTGATCTGCCCCGGAACAGCCGATCGGTCCTAAAATGTCACTTCTATCTGACTTTGTGAAATGTGAGATCACAGTCACAAAGTCGGATAAAAGTGATTTTCCCTTCACCTTAGTGAATGGGGTGCAGCTCTGCTGGACTTCCATTATCCAATCACTTGCAAGCAAAAATATTTTTTTTTCCTTATTTGTGATTGGGGATTCTTTTCAAAGTGAATTGTCACCACATTTACTAAGACAAGTGAAAATACCCTGCAAAGTAAATAGCCCATTTGCCTTTAGCAAATCAACACCTTACAATCTTTGAACCTATACAGATTAACATTTGCCACTTCACAGGTCCACACTTGAGTCCCTGTAATTAGCTGACTGCTGGATAGACCAAGAAATATATTTTTATGAGTACACATGTGGACTATAACAAATATCATGTGTACTATACACCTGGTTCACACATGAGCGTTTTTATGCACGGATCTAGTCGCGCAAAACACACATTTACATGCAAGGCAATGGCGACTGTTCACATCTTAGTGAGAGAAAACGCTTTTCACGCGAAAAGATGCTGGAGCTATTTTTAGGCGGATGTTGCATGGTTTTGGTCCAATAAACATTTCTATGCAAAGAGAAACGTGCATTTTTAAAAGCAAAAATGCGCAAAAAATTGCACGAAACTGCAATAGCCCGGGTGTGCACCTGCCGTAATAGTCTTAGTCGTAATAGGCATGAGATCTGCTGCCCAATCTCTAGCATTCCAAAAAGCCTTAGATCTGTTTTTTTGTCTTTGCACCAGTGTCCACACTGATGTTTTCCTCCAGCAGGACCTGGCTGTTAGACAGCCTCATTCCAAGCAATATCTTTTCACTGGAATGGCTGCCACTGTAGCTGATCAGTCACTGGAAAGTCTTCCAGGGACAGATCATTGTCTTTTGCCATATAGGCCATGTGACAAAATTTCTGATGTATAGTAGGGGGTAACAGACTTATCCAAGGCACAATATTAATCCCAAAATGTGGACTAAGGTTAGGCTAGGATTATGGTAAAAAGTGAATAATGCATACATGTTTGGTGTCCTGTAACTAGGACAAAATATGTTGAGAGTTGTAAATATGCTGAAAAAAAAATGACGGCTTGCAAAATTTTGTAGAAGGATTTAAAGGAGCTTTTTTAATTTGTCTCAATTGCTTCCGTAAATAATAAACCTAAATTAAAATGGTATTTTATGAAGTATGTATTCTTTCAGAATAAAACTGTAACTTTTGTGCAAATACACAAAGCTGGTAAAAAGCTGAATCTGCACACTCAAAAAAAAGTTTTAGTCCTGAAGGTATGAATTATCGCCGGCCATTAAGGTGTTGTATTTAGTATCATTCTGCTGGAGTGAATGCAGTAATAAACTGAGAATAAGCTTATAGAGCCATTTATTAACCATTACCTGACATAATTTATGTAGTTTTTCTTAAAGCTTTTTTTTTGTAACTGGTCGTCTGTATAGCTATAGCCATTATTTCTGTTTTTTTATATAGTGCTGACATTAGTGGTAATGTATTCTCTGCTTTCTGTTCTTAGAATGAAACCAAGCCTGTGCAGATGATGTTCAAAAAAGCCAAATTTCCAATGACGTACGTGGGAGATTTGTTCACGAAAGTTATTGAACTGCCCTATGTTAATAATGAGTTGAGTATGTTTATAATGCTCCCTGATGAAATTCAGGATGGAACCACAGGCTTGGAAAAGGTAAGAAACTTTTCTAGTGTAACCTTTTTTGAGGTGTTTGACTTTACATAAAGATTCAAGGTGTACCTTCCATGGTCAGGTTTTTATTTGATGTTCTTAGAAGACTGATATAATACTGATTACAGTAATTAACCCCTTCGTGACGGGAGACGTACACTGTACGTCCCGCCACAAAGGGACCAAATGTACGTGACGAGTTATTTGCTGCATTAGAGGGCTCAGTATAGAGGCATCCATTAATGAAAGGGTTAACCTTTTTCAGACACCTGATACCTTAATATCGGGTGTCTGAGAGTCAAAGCAGAGCAGGCAAAAGCCGGCATTCTGACAGCTCGTATAGAACTAGAGATATCTCTCTTGATCGTATACTGGTTTTTTTTTTCCTTCACTTTCAGGAATAGATACATAGTGTATCTATTCCTGAAAGAAGAATGTTTCAGTTTTCTGATCGTTGTTGGAATGATCAGAAAACCTTTAGTGACAGCTGAATCCTGAACTGCTGCAGGATCAGTGTCACTAACTTTATTATTGGCTGTTCTGAAGTTTGTAGCAGCCTAATAATAACCAAAAATGTATTAATTTATCAAGCAGTAATAGTGAGATTAATTCACAATGACTGCTTGATATAATTAAATAAAATAAAAATTGTAAAAGTTTTAAAAAAATAGTGAAAAGTGTAAAAAAAAGAAAATAGGACAAAATAAATGAATGTATTTATTGCATTTTTTTTTAGGTGTGCTGGTTTTGTAAAAAATACTACAAATCAAAACTGGGAAAAAAGTGTTTTTTTTTTAAACGTTTTTCTCCTCTTTTTATATTTTGTTTGCCCTAAGTGAGGCGTTAGACACACATATGTGATATAAATAAGTAGCCCTATCTGTCCTCTAAAAACAATATATAATATGTGTGGGTGCACTTTGTAAGAAAGTATATTACTGACGTGGAAGAATTACACAGCAAAAATGTCAAAAGTGTGTCATTTACGAACAGAAACTAAAAACAAGCTCAGTCATGAAGGGGTTAAAGGCATAGCCTAAAGGCTACATATTGAATTAGATGCTTGCAAACCAATAAAGAATGCTATTTCTATACAATGTTTTTTTTTAAACTGCCTATATTCTGCTGCCTTACATTTATATTGCTGTACAGTGTTTTATGGCTAGATGTTGGGGGAGATGTTATGCTGTGGCGAAGGTGTGGCCCAATGCTTGTCATGTCATTGTACTGGATACCTACTCTTCCCATGTAATGATTCTAGTTCCCAAAGACACCTCTATTAAAACACTTCAGATAAAATCTAAGATATTTTTGAATATTCGTATATGTCAGGATTGCAGGCAAAAAACACTAGCATAGCTGCTATATGTTTAATGAGCCACTCTCAAGAACTTGCTGCTAACAGTAGTGTTGTGGTTAGCTAAAGCTGGCCATACACTATATAATCTAGTTGTAAAATCTCTGTACAATATTGTTTAGCTTTACCAAGCTATGTAATATGGGGGTATACCTAATCTATTCCATTTGTATTAAATCAGACAGGCCCTTGTACTACATATTTGATGGTAGATGTAATGCAGATTGCACAATCGGATTCTATAGTAATACTATAGTAAACTTTAAGTGTTATCTTAGTGGCGAGCCTTCCTTTATGGAACCCATACATAGCTGGTCACACATGGCTGAACAATAGTAAAATTGGTAAGCCAAGAGATGTATTCGAACGTCATTTCCAGCTTGAATATGACAGCCACAGGCTCGTAGAAATTCTAGTAATGGAGCAAAAATAACTTACAATTAAAGTGCATATAAAAACCATAGACCATCCTGGCCTTGTAAAGTGAATATTTTTCATGAAGTGCAGTAACCTATAGTAACCAACCAGAATTAATTCGGCTGAAGAAAGACCAGTACAATATAGATCTGAATGGCTGCTAATGTTTACTGCACTTCAGACTAGTATGAGAAATGTTTATTGAATATGGCTGGAATTTGGGTAATGAACACTGATGTATGTAGGGTAGGCCAGTTTGTGAGATCTAACATTGGACAAAGCAGCTGGTAGTGATAGTTAACTGAAAAACACCTCTGTGCAGAAAGGAGTGCTTGCCGCTGACTTAACCTGGGGAAGCTGCACACAAGCAAGTCCTTGCGCAGTCATTACATGCTGTGCTTTATTTGGGTAGGCATCACCTTACATAGATCACCAGAACTTGCTATTTGTTTTCTTACTTGGTTGGAAGGCATTTACATGTCTGCTTTTAGGTCTTAATATTCCTCTGTGTGCCATGTAGATCCCCTGAACCATCGTGTTCTTGGAGGACCAGTCTCAACTTTCAGTTGCGAAGGCAAAGAGTTTCAAGCTGTCAGATTCCTAGGTATACATACAGTACTGTGCAAAGGTTTTAGGCAGGTGTGAAAAAATGCTGTAAAAGTGAGAATGCTTTCAGAAATAAAAGTGTTAGTTTATTTTTATCAATTAACAAAATGAAAAGTAAATGAACAGAAGAGAAATCCAAATCAAATCAATATTTGGTGTGACCACCCATTGCCTTCAAAACGGAATCAATTCTTCTAGGTACACTTGCATACAGTTTCTGAAGTAACTTGGCAGGTAGATTGTTCCAAACTTATTGGAGAACTAAGCACAGATCTTCTGTGGATGTCGGCTGCCTCAAATCTTTCTGTCTCTTCATGTAATCCCAGACAGACTCAAGGATGTTGAGATCAGGGCTCTGTGGGGGCCAACCCATCAGTTCCAGAACTTCTTGTTCATCATTTCGCTGAAAATAGTTCTTAATGACATTGGCTGTATGTTTGGGGTCAAGTCCTGCTGCAGAATAAATTTGGGGCCAATTGCACATGTCCCTGATGGTATGGCATGATGGGATAAGTACCTGCTTGTATTTCTTAGCATTGAGGACACCATTGATCCTGACCAAATCTCCAACTCCATTTGCAGAAATGCAGCCCCAGACTTGCAAGGAACCTCCACCATGCTTCACTGTTGCCTTCAGACACTCATTATTGTACCGCTGTCCAGCCCTTCTGCTAACAAACTGCCTCCTGCTACAGCCAAATATTTAACATTTTGACTCATCAGTCCAGAGCACCTGCTGCCAGTTTTCTGCACCCCAGTTCCTATGTTTTAGTACATAGCTGAGTCGCTAAGCCTTTTTTTCCACGTCGGAGGTATGACTTTTTGGCCGCAATTCCTCCATGAAGACCACTTCTGGCCAGACTTCTCTGGACAGTAGATTGGTGTACCTGGGTCCCACTGATTTCTGCCAGTTTGGTGCTAATGGCACTGCTGGACATCTTCTGATTTGGAAGGGAAGCAAGCATGATGGGTCTTTCATCTGCTGTATTAAGTTTCCTTTAGGGCTGCAGCTAACGATTATTTTCATAATCGATTAGTTGGCCGATTATTAAGTTCGATTAATAGGATAAAAAAAAAAAGGCTCCAGTGATGGACTACTAGTTTCTATTGCGATTGTAGTCCATCACAGGAGCAAGCTTGGCACGGTGGAAGTAAAAAAAAAGTGTGGTGTGCAATATAGTACATTATACAGCGGCGCAATGCAGAATACCAGCAGCTATAGAGGAATGCAGCAATAGTACATTATACTATAATGTACTATTGCTGGGATTTGTAGTCCTCTGTAGCTGGCGTTATTCTGCATTGCACTGTATATAATGTATTATTGCTGGGATCTGATGTATTCCTCTATAGCTGGCGTTATTCTGCATTGCGCTGTATATCATTTATTATCGCTGGGATTTGTAGTCCTCTACAGTGCGCTGTATAATGATAATACGGCGAAATGCAGTATACCACCAGCTATATAGGAATACAACAAATGCCAGCAATAGTACAACATTATACAATAATGTACTATTGCTGGGATATGTAGTCCTCTGTAAATGCTGGTATTCTGCATTGCGCTGTATAATGATTATACTGTGCAATGCAGATTACCATTGACCTGTTATAGAGGAACTACAAATCCCAGAAATAATACATTGCCCAGCGCAATGGAGAATACCACCAGCTATAAAGGAACAACAAATCCCAGCAATAATACATTATACAGGCTGTTTGTTGTTCCTCTATAGCTACTAATGTTCTGCAGTGTGCCGCTTAAAAAAAAAAAACACAACAGGAAACATTAAAAAGCTCCCCGCCGATCTCGACTTACTTTGAATGACGGTGTTGTCGGCGAGCAGCGGCGTTGTTGGTTGTCGGCGGGCAGCGGCGAGTCGGTAAGCTCGCCGGGAGGAGAGGGCCAGACGCATGTCCTCAGCGTGGGCGTGGCTAAGCGGCGTTGCGTGAGCGGGTTTACCGGCGTCGATCGTCGATTTTAATTGAATAATTGCTGCAGCTCTAGTGAACAGGTGCTAGTCCTTTCCTATGTGAACAGGGAGGAAAGTGCTAACCACATGAGCAAAATGGAACATCATTCAAGTTGCACTAGTTTGTATTGAGGGCAGGCAAGGATCAGCTTATTTTAATAGTGAGCACTTTTCAATTTAGTCAGAATCTCTCAAGGAAACCTCTTATTATTGAAAAGGGAGGGGGGAGGGGGAGGGCTCTTTTCAATAATAAGAGGTTTCCTTGAGAGATTCTGACTAAATTGAAAAGTGCTCACTATTAAAATAAGCTGATGTCATTACATCCAGATCACTACAGTTACATTTCTAGTGTAGTCCACTCCTGACTTACTTTTAGAAGGTGGGCCCTCAATTGTCTGCAGGCCAGCGGCGGGTGAGGGAGCTCACGGCGAGGAGGAGACCAGCGGTGGACATGGCTTTTGCGGCGACTGAGGGAGCTCACGGCTAGGAGGAGACCAGCGGCCGGCATGACTTATGCGGCGGGTGAGAGAGCTCACGGCTAGGAGACGAGCAGCGTGCGCGGCTTCGGCCTGTTCGGTGGGCGTGGCTTATGCGGCGGCGGCCTGTGCGGTGGACACGTCGGGAGCAGCGTGTGACGTGCGACTCAGGCCGCGTGCGGAGCCCCGAACAGGCTAAGCAATCAATAGCCGACGAATCGACGATCGAAAACGTTGCCAACGTTTTCAATCGTCGATTTTAATCGACTTAATCGATTAACTGTTGCAGCTCTAGTTTCCTTGGCAAACACTGCGTCTACGGTCCTCAACGTTGCCCGTTTCTTTGTGAGTCTTCAAAAGAGCTTGAACAGCACCTCAGTGTTTGAAATCTTTGCCTGGGAGAGACCTTGCTGATGCAGTACAACTACATTTGTGTCTCGTTGCAGTGCTCAGTCTTGCCATGGTGTATGCCCTGTGACATGAAACGGTCTTCCACAACCTCACCTTAGTAGCAGAGTTTGGCTGTTCTTCTCCCAGTTTAAAGCCTCCTACACAGCTGTTTCTGTTTCAGTTAATGACTGTGGTTCAACCTACATATGAAATTGATGATCATTAGCACCTTCTTGGTATAATTGCTTAATCATACACCTGACTCTCAGCTTACAAAACCCCCTGACTTTGTGCAAGTGTAAGAATTGATGCTGGTTTGAAGCCAGAGGGTAGTCACACCAAATATTGATTTCGATTTTTTTTGTCCTTTTTGCATTTTGTAAATTTATAAAAATAAATAATTTTGAAAGCATTCTTACTTTACAGCATTTTATATACACCTTCCTAAAATGTTTGCACAAAACTGTATGTACTGACCACCCACATGCATGCTGGCCTCTGAGAAATAAAGAAATGTTTTTGAAGGCGAGAAGAGTTCTAAGCAGGAACTGTTGTCTTAAGTATTCATTTTCTTCCGCATTATGTTTTCTAGCACTGGAATCCCTTAGTTGGCTTACGTTGAATGGCTTTCAGTTTACAGTGTTGCATAGTAGTGTACAATTTTTTATTTTTTTTAATTAATTGTCATAATGTTTTGTTCTTTTCAGCTTGAAAAAGAGTTAACATATAGTACATTTTTGGAGTGGACAAACCCAGACATGATGGACAAAACAGAAATCGAGTTGTTTGTACCAAAGTTTAAGCTAGAAGACAGTTATGACCTGAAGTCTGTACTTAGTGACATGGGGATGGCTGTTGCTTTTGACCAAGGAAAAGCGGACTTCTCGGGAATGTCTAGTAATAACGATCTAGTGCTTTCTAAAGTAGTACACAAATCTTTTATAGATGTAAATGAGGAAGGTACAGAGGCAGCTGCTGCCACAGCAGGAATTATGATGATGCGTTGTATGATGATTGTTCCAAAGATATTATGTGACCATCCCTTTCTGTTCTTTATCACCCACAAGCAAAGCCGCAGCATTTTGTTTAGTGGCAGGTTCAGTTCACCCTAGGGACCTGCACTTCAAACCCTGATATATTGAGGATGACTAAACCTAAAACACATGGCTGTTCTGTTTATAGTGACACTAACCTCGGGAGTTAAATCTTAAAAATGCATTCAAGTACCTAAACTATTACAAACAAACTATTAACAAAGATGTAGCTCGTCTGTGTATATCTTGACTGTAGATCCTCAAATCATCTCTAAATTCATGCTGACACAGTCCTTCCTCCTGGAGGGTTCTACTTTTGTTCCCCATGGTCCCCATGTGTTGTAAAGTAGCCATCACTTCCATCTCATGTTTACTTAGCTAACTTGCATTGAAGTTAGTCTTTCACAGGAGCAAGCTTGGAGCTGTGTCTACTTTACAACACACACAGGGACCATGGGGAACAAAAGTAGAACCCTCCAGGAGGAATTACCTTGTTAGCATGAATTCAGAGATGATTTGAGGATCTACAGCCGTGTGATACAAAAATAACATACATTTCTGTTTAATAGTTAAGGTACTTGAATGCATTTTTAGGATTTAACTCCTGAGTTTAGTGTTACTTTAAAAAAGGTGTTCACATAGATCAAAAAGATGGTGCTTCATAAAAGTTAAATGATGTCTCCAGGAACAGGAAATTCACGTGTATGTTGCAGTGAGTAATTTGTTGAAATGGAGATGTAATGTAATAAGACTGATTGATTGTATACAAGATATCTTTCATAAAAAAATCTTTAAAAAAACGATATCTTTAGTTCTCTGTCTAAGGTCTATGTGTACACTTACTTTTGATAGTACAGCCAAAGCAAGCACATCTGCTTATTCAGGAATCCACAGTAATGTAACCCATGGCACCCATTCAGAATTCAGATTTGAATGATCTGATTATTGTAAGATGAGATCTAGTAGTTCTCCTATGGGTTTCCTTTGCACTTCAGATTTGCTCTTTGTGTTGCCTTTTTGAATAAGCTTTTATTATACTCTCCTTTTTTCTAAACATCTGTGAATATTGTGTTTTGCTTGTAAAGCGCCTTTTTCTTAGGTGGTTTTCCTGCAAGAGCTCCTAACCTACTAAAAACTTTACTAGATGAAGTTGTTTTACAATTATTAAATCTCCATAACCATCCTGAGAATAATAAAGAAAAGGCTCACATCTATACAGTCTGTTGTTTAGCCACTGACATTTGTGCCTTACTTAAGTGTCCTTTCCAAGACGTAAATACTACTATCAAACAAACTTTTGATTTCTAAGCCATATACTATATCATTTATGACAGAAAAATGTACTTACAACAGCTCTACTATATTGGACTGGCTCAATGCTGTTGCCTAAATGGCTAGTAAAATATTACTATAGTAAATGCTTTAATTATCTTTTTATAAAGGTAGACTCTCAGACATGTTCGTTTTTACACCTGCATACATAGCAAAAATGGGTGTTAATCCCAGTAGCGTCTTCAAGTAATCATTTGTAGTCATTGGGCCCAGGTCCCTATACTGCAGCAGCACATCATCTTTAGTATGCCTTAAAGTGGATACATTGCCCATTGTCATGCTAAGAAATAAAGACTTCATGCATTTAGTGCCTGAAAGAAGATCTGTCTTTGTTCCCTGCTGTAATCAAATAATTTCTTCCTTTTATTGTTGCTAGGGAAGGTAAGAAAGTCAAGGAGTAGTTGACTAGTTGCTATAGGGTAACAGTCACAGTTACAGGGTTATTCACAAAAGGGAGAAGAGTTTGGAGAAGGAAGGAGAAGTGAACAATCTCGGACAACATAACTCAACTGGAAAGTGAACTGAATTGGAGAATTTTTCCAAATCAACTATTTTGTCCTAGATTGATCACGTCTCCTGCCTTCTCCAAACTCTTCACCGTTTTGTTGTGAACAACAACAAATAACTGTTAATCTTATATTGTTCCTGTATGTGAATGTTGATAGGTTTATACTTTAAACATAAAATATGTCTTGATTCAGTATGCGGTTTTATATGTGGCATGCTCATTTCGATAGTTATATGTATGTTAATTACATCAAATCTTTTGGTCTCATGCAATAAAACAAAAGGTTCCTCAAATAAAGCAAAGTCATATTGTCTTCATTATCATTAGTTGGTCTTCTATTGCAGTTGTGAAACGGCTGAAGATTTCCTATTACCAGTCCACAAAGACCCCTGTTTGAGTACATGATGGGGTCTGCTTTATTTAGCAGGGGTCTGCTTTATTTAGCAGTGGATTGAACAGGGTGAGCATTATCAGGATACACAGAGGCTGCAGTCTGTGTTGACTTTAACACTAATCAAAGCAAATGCTTCACAGAGCACTGATCTGTATTGCATTTATCTGGTTTCATAAAAAGTGCGTACTGTTCCAAAGATATTATGTGACCATCCCTTTCTGTTCTTTATCACCCACAAGCAAAGCCGAAGCATTTTGTTTTGTGGCAGGTTCAGTTCACCCTGAGGAGCTGCACTTCAAACCCTGATATATTGAGGATGACTAAACCTAAAATACATGGCTGTTGTTTAAAGGGACACTAAATTCGGGACTTAAATCTTAACAATGCATTCAAGTACCTAAACTGTTACAAACAAACTATTAACAAAAATGTGGGTCATCTGTAGATCTTCAAATCATCTCTGAATTGGTGCCGACACTGACCTTCTTTATGGAGGGTTCTACTTTGTTCCCCCTGTGTGTTGTAAAGTAGCCACCACTCCAATCATGTTTACTTAGCTAACTTGCATTGAAGTTATAGTCTTTCACAGGAGTGAGCTTGGAGCTGTGTCTACTTTACAACACACACAGGGACCATGGGGAACAAAAGTAGAACCCTCCAGAAGGAAGGACAGTGTCAGCACCAATTCAGAGATGATTTAATGATCTACAGCCAAATGATACACATAACATACATTTCTATCAATAGTTGGATGCCTTTTTAGGATTTAATTCCTGAGTTTAGTGTTACTTTAAAAAAGGTGTTCACTTAGATCAAAAAGATGGTGCTGCATAAAAGTGAAATTATGTCTCCAGGTACAGGAAATTCACGTGTATGTTGCAGTGAGTAATTTGTTAAAATAGAGATGTAATGTAATAAGACTGATTGTCTACAAGATAGCTTTCATAAAGCAATCTTTAAATAAATGATATATTTAGTTCGCTGTCTAAGGTCTATGTGTACACTTATTTTTGATAGTACAGCCAAAGCAAGCATATATGCTTATTCAGGAATCCACAGTAATGTAACCCATGGCACCCATTCAGAATTCAGATTTGAATGATCTGATTATTGTAAGATGAGATCTAGTAGTTCTCCTATGGGTTTCCTTTGCACTTCAGATTTGCTCTTTGTGTTGCCTTTTTGAATAAGCTTTTATTATACTCTCCTTTTTTCTAAACATCTGTGAATATTGTGTTTTGCTTGTAAAGCGCCTTTTTCTTAGGTGGTTTTCCTGCAAGAGCTCCTAACCTACTAAAAACTTTACTAGATGAAGTTGTTTTACAATTATTAAATCTCCATAACCATCCTGAGAATAATAAAGAAAAGGCTCACATCTATACAGTCTGTTGTTTAGCCACTGACATTTGTGCCTTACTTAAGTGTCCTTTCCAAGAAGTAATTCCTACCTACAACTTTTGATTTCTAAGCCATATACTATATCATTTATGACACAAAAATTTACTTACAACAGCTCTACTATGTGTAATTGGCTCAATGCTGCTGCCTAAATGGCTAGTAAACGATTACTATAGTAAATGCTTTAATGATCATTATAAGGTAGACTCTCAGACATGTTCGTTTTTACACCTACATATATAGCAAATATGAGTGTTTAATCCTGTAGCGTCTTCAAGTAATCATTTGTAGTCATTGGGCCTATGTCCCTATTCTGCAGCAGCACATAATCTTTAGTATGGCAAAGTATAGCAAGGCAAATATAGCAAGGCCATTGCCATGCTAAGAAATAAAGACTTCATGCATTTAGTGCCTGAAAGAAGATCTGTCTTTGTTCCCTGCTGTAATCAAATAATTTCTTCCTTTTTATTGTTGCTAGGGAAGGTAAGAAAATCAACAAGTAGCTGACTGGTTGCTATAGGGTAACAGTCACAGTTACAGGGTTATTCACAAAAGGGTGAAGAGTTTGGAGAAGGCAGGAGAAGTGAACAATCTAGGACAACATAACTGAACTGGAAAGTGAACTGAATTGGTCAATTTTTCCAAATGGCTATGTTGTCCTAGATTGATCACGTCTCCTGCCTTCTACAAACTCTTCACCCTTTTGTTGTGAATAACCCTGTTAATCTTCTGTTGTTCCTGTATGTGAATGTTGATAGGTTTATACTTTAAACATAAAATATGTCTTGATTCAGTATGCGGTTTTATATGTGGCATGCTCATTGTGATCATTATATGTATGTTAATTACATCAAACCTTTTGGTCTCATGGAATAAAGCAAAGTCATGTTGTCTTCATTATCATTAGTTGGTCTTCTATTGCAGTTGTGAAACGGCTGAAGATTTCCTATTACCAGTCCACAAAGACCCCTGTTTGAGTAGATGATGGGGTCTGCTTTATTTAGCAGTGGATTGAACAGGGTGAGCAATATCAGGATACACAGAGGTTGCAGTCTGTGTTCACTTTAACACTACAGAGCACTGATCTGTATTGCATTTATCTGGTTTCATAAAAAGTCCCAAGGAAGCTCAGTATGTAGAAAGTACATTTGCATGTTTTCTACGGTTTGTACTAGTAGCGCTATCCCTCCTGACTTGAGAGAACTATAGGTAGAGACACTCCTAAAAATCATAGGATTAAAGTGAACTGCTCAGGATACTGATAGGAGAGATGCCATAGATTTCTTCTTTATAATAATTTAAAGAAAAACTCTAAGGAAAACAAATTTTAAACCCTTGCAGTGGGGTTATACCGACACTACAAGGGTGAGATGCTTTTTTTCATCTAGGTGCGAAAATAAAAAAAATTATACTCACCCAATCCTGGGAGCCAGTGTCGTGCGAGAATCGCAGGAAATTCTGCAATCGTACGAGAATCGTGCAGTGTATGGAAGGCGTGCGACTGTTTCTAATGTACGGTCGCATGACGTTTGTATATCGAGCATGTTGGAAAACCAGCCGAGAATC